GGGCCCTGCCGCCTCGCCCGTAGGCCCCGGTCGCTTCCGCGACGTTGGCTCTGGGCCGGACTGGTGCGGCCTTTCCTTCTCTTAGGCCTCTTCGGCGGGGCGGAGGCAGCGGTTGTGACTGTTTAAATCGAGCTGTTTTAGGATAGTGTTCTTCTGGGCACAAAATTGCCAAGTGCACAATTTCCACCTTTATATGCGAATGCCATCATCTTCAGAAAGTGAAGCACAAAAAGTTTATCTGACTAAATCTGCTGCAAGCATCTGCCACATAAGACTGCAAGCTACTCCCTGCTAGGGTGCTGATTTAGAAAGTACCCCAGAGCATCTCCTGTGTCCTGGGGAATGTGGTGCTACAGACAACATAAGTAGCTCAGTGAGTTTACATTTACATGTCATGCGTGCAGCATCACTGATGATGTAATTCAGGGTTCAGTTTAACAAAATAGCATGGTCCAAACTGCCAGGCACAGATACTGCCAGGGGAAGTCCTGCTTCTTTCTGTAATTTTTATCATGTTCCCAACCCCAGCCCCCCACTGGGCTCCAGTCTCTGTTCCCACAGATCTCCTTGATGCAGGCTCAGGAACTCATCGCATGCTAGGTGATTCAACTTGCTAAAATCAGCAGCAAAAGCAATTAAAATTTCATTTTTCATTTTTGTGTGCTGGGTTGGTGAGTTGAACAAATTTAATTATGAATCAGTGCAAAGATAAACATTTTTTGGGAAGAATCAGAAAGGATGGAGCCTTTTCTGGTCCAGTAGCTGTTTATTTGTCTCAGCTGTCAAATAAAACTGTGTCAGTGAGATGCAGTGAACAGATGTAAGAGCATGTACTGCCATATGTTTTACTCTTAATTCCTCTTTTCCCTCCTTCTTGCACCTTAGATGGGCTGTGATGCTCTGCAGACCCTTCTGTGAGCTCATTTGGCATGATAAAGCAATGAAAAAATAAACAAGCAAAAATAATATTCTGCCACTTCTGTGTCTGGAGAGCACCATGGCCCAGAGGACAGAGAGAATGGGCTGGAAACAGGGAAAGAGGGATGGAGCTGATCTAAGCAAGTCATTATATGGTATCTTCTCAAACCCTGCCTCCAGCCTGAGCTGTGAGATCTGCTGAGAGTTCAGCTGGTCCCTGTAGAAGGGCATCTGATAATAAAAGCAGAAAGTTAGTGGCTTATTGTTCCCATTAGATTTAGTTGCAGTCTGCTGGGCAAACAGAGTTTTAACAGCTGTTCTAAAAAAAGGCCCTTTCAGATTTTCTCCTGGAAGCTAAAGCCACTTGACAAGTTAATCTGGTAGACAGACAGGAATGTAACAAACTTTGGAAATCAACAGGGAGGTTGAAAACAATTTCATGTTGCTGGCGTCAAATTTCCACTTAGTCTAGAGGGTTTTGTATAATAAAGGGAGAAACAGGTTTTAAAACATATTCATGAAAAGTCAGTAGCTTGCTAGGAGGAAAATTTTATTCTGTGTTTGAAGCTGTATTCTTTAATTCATTAAGCCTTTGGGGATTTACTTATCATTAAGCAGTATGGGAAAATGCTCAAAAATTGTTAAAATAGGTTTATTTGATAGATAAAAGCCCATTATAACTATTCAGACAACTTTTGATACAGATAGACATGCTAGCTATAGAGCCTATTTCTATGGAGGAGTCCTGCCAGAGAAGCTGAGGATATTGGGTATTAAAACTGACTGGGTCCTTGCAGCACCCCTGTGGAGCTGGAAAATGGTAAGAAGCCCCAAGGAGAAACCTAAGCTCTTTGTAAATTGCACTGCGCACAGTCCCATCCACTCTGATTTGAGATAGGAGCCGAGTTCGTATTTCTGGAGTCACCATCCAGGTTATTATGAATTAAACTCCTAGTCTGAACAGACTTGTTCTGTCAGCTTCTTGCCACTGCTTTCTTACTGCTGGTTCTCTTGGTCACTCACTTAAAATAAATGGAATTACTGCTAACATGCACATGCTCTGAAATTATGGAAGCTTTGAAAGAAAAATGAATACATGTAACAGTGCACAGTTTGCTTCTGCCTATGTGAATTGCTGAGAGGTGAATTACAGAGGTAGCCTTTGGAACAGCAGTAGATGTCCTGAAAATCTGGGGTTGTTTGAAGAAGTGTGAGCGTGCTTCTGGAACATTTGCCATGCAACAGCCATTATCTGGCTACAGTCCTGTTTCAAACTTGGCGTTTCAGAAGCCAACGTGCTAGGGCTTAGATCAGCTGAATTTTAATTTGGTGCAGTGGTGAAGGGGCCCCGTGCATCCACCCTGCTCCTCTACCACAGATTATTGTCCCCAGAGCACAGCACATGTCCTAGCTCTTTCCC